CTTCAATACAGGACATCAATCACTGGATCCTACTGTGATCTGATTGGCTCATGGCCAAAACAAGGTGACACCTGATTGGCTCTCTAAACACTCATGCTCATTGCCTACCATCGGAGGAAGGAAAGCTACCTCAGATCAACCTAAGCCAGTTGGGCTTCCTTTTCCTTTTTCACTTTTCATAGAATACAGTACAGATAATTGAACAAACTTTGTTGCATTACATTCTCGGTTAAATTATCTTTCCATTGATATATAATTTTATGGCACGACTCTCCCCAAAAAGTGATGTCATTAGCCATCAAACCTCAAAAATACACTTTTCCCACAATTTTGGCCACTGCTCTATGAGAAATATCATCTAAGCAACATTTTAGTAACCATCTAACCATTTGTTCTGTTGGTTTCTAGCGTCCCTATTCCTAAGCCTTGGCTAATGAAGGCTCCGGGAGCTACCTAATACACATTCTATTGGCTCCAAACCATCCCTATTCGTAACTTCTAGCTGAGCTATGCAGCCTGTCTAACTCTTTGCTATTGTCGTCAGTTCTCTAACCGCCTACAAGTGTTTGCACGTGCATATTCTCTGTGAGTAAATAAACACTCTTTGTCCTTTCCAGACAGACTCCACAAATACAGGCTTCCCGGATTTCTTTCAAGTGATAGCCGTCTTCCAATCTCTCAGGGGCTGCCCCAAAGAAGAGGGAGTCAAGCTATTCTCCAAAGCGCCTGAAGGCAGGACAAGAAGCAACGGGTGGAAACTGATCAAGGAGAGAAGCAACCTGGAACTAAGGAGAAACTTCCTGACAGGGAGAACAATTAACCAGGAGAACAACCTGCCTCCAGAAGCGGTGAATGCTCCAACAATGGAGGTTTTTAAGAAGAGACTGGACAGCCATTTGTCCGAAATGGTGTAGGGTTTCCTGCCTGAGCAGGGGGCTGGACTATATGACCTCCACGGTCCCTTCCAACTCTATTATCATTATTATTAATTAACCAGTGGAACCACCTGCCTCCAGAAGCGGTGAATGCTCCAACACTGAAAGTTTTAAGAAGAGATTGGACAACCCTTTGTCCGAAATGGTATAGGGTCTCTTGCCTGAGCAGGGGGTTGGACTAAATGACCTCCAAGCTCCCTTCCAACTCCTGTTATTCTGTATTCTATATTCTAAGGGTATGCCATAGCCCATCAGCCATCTCCTCTCCAGAGTCATGGGCTTGGCCACTTCAGGCAGATGGGCCTGGCTGTGAATTAGCTGTCAAAGGAACACAGTGCCAAGGAAGGCGGATGGAGCCTATTATGCAAATGGGAGAAAAGGGGTTCCCCTCCTGGTTTTGCATAATTCTGCAAATTTCCCCCCTTGCGCACAAGCAACGAAGCCCTCCTCCCTTTGTGGGGGAATCTCACGTGAATTCCCCCTTGGCTTCTGAATGTTATTTGCAGAGCTGCGGATGCTGCGCCAAAGCCGTTTGCAAGGCAATGACATTAAACCTCACAGAATGGCAGAGTGGGAAGGGGCCTTGGAGGTCTTCTAGTCCAGCCCCCTGCTCAAGCGGGAGACCTGCCTAGACAATTCCAGACAGGTGGATGTCCAGTCTCTTCTTAAAAGCTTCCAGTGATGGAGCACCCACAACTTCTGGTGGCAAGCTGTTCCACTGGTTAATTGTCCTTAATTTCTCCTTAATTCCAGGTTGCCTTTCTCCTTGGTTAGTTTCCACCTGTTGTTTCTTCTTTTGTCTTCTGGTGCTTTAGAAAATTAATTGACCCCCCTCTTCTTTGTGGCAGCCCCTCAATACTGAAAACTTGCTAACATCATCATCATCATCATCATCATCATCATTATCATAAAGTTGGAAGGGACCTTGGAGGTCATCTAGTCCAACCCCCTCCTCAGCCAGGAAACCCTACACCATTTCAGACAAATGGCTGTCCAGTCTCTTCTTAAAAACTTCCAGTGTTGGAGCATTCACCACTTCAGGAGGCAGGTGGTTCCAATGGTTAATTGTTCTAACTGTCAGGAAGTTTCTCCTTAGTTCTAGGTTGCTTCTCTCCTTGATGAGTTTCCATCCGTTGCTTCTTGTCCTGCCTTCAGGCGCTTTGGAGAATAGCTTGACTCCCTCTTCTTTGGGGCAGCCCCCGAGATATTGGAAGACTGCTATCATGTCCCCCTCGTCCTTCTCTTCGTTAAACTAGACATACCCAATTCTAGCAGCCATTCCTTATATGTTTTAGCCTCCAGTCCCCTAATCCTCTTTGTTGCTCTTCTCTGCCCTCTTTCCAGAGTCTCAACATCTTTTCTGTAATGTGGTGACCAAAACTGGATACAGGTATTTCCAAGTGTGTGTTTCCTGATCTCTTTTGAGATTCATGACTGCAAGAGAAGCCTCATGATGTTGGCCAGGCCCAGGGGTGGCTGATCCCTCCGATGGGGTCTTCAGGGCTGTGGGGTCTTGAAATTGGTTCTTCCCAGCTTTGAGACGGAGACTTTCTTCCCATAGGGCATATTTGAGTAATAGAATGACAGAGCTGAAAGCTACCCTGGAGGTCATTCTAGTCTACCTTCCTGCTCAAGGAGTAGAATAGAATGGAATGGAATAGAATAGAATAGAATAGAATAGAATAGAATAGAATAGAATAGAATAGAATAGAATAGAATAGAATAGAATAGAATAGAATAGAATAGAATAGAATAGAATAGAATAATAGAATAATAATAATAATAATAATAATAATAATAATAGTAGTAGTAGTAGTAGTAGTAGTAAAGTTGGAAGGGACCTTGGAGGTCATCTAGTCCAACCCCCTGCTCAGGCAGGAAACCCTACACCATTTCGGACAAATGGCTGTCCAGTCTCTTCTTAAAAACTTCCAATAGAATAGAATAGAATAGAATAGAATAGAATAGAATAGGAGCTGGAAGGGACCTTGGAGGTCTTCTAGTCCAGCCCCCTGCTCGAGCAGGAGAACCTATACCATCTTAGACAAGTAACTATCTAGCTGCTAGATAGTCAGTTGTCTAAGATGGTATAGGTCAGTAATGGCGAAACTTTTAGAGACGGAGTGCCCAAACTGCAACCTAAACCCACTTATTTATCGCCGGGTGCCAGGTGGGCGTGGCCCACTGGGTGGCCGTGGCTGTGGTGGTCATGGCAGACTGGGTGGGTGTGGCCAAGGTGGACGTGGTCACCTCAATGTTGCTCGTGGGGAGGGACGCCTGTGGGGGCCGGGCAGGGTTGGGGGAGATCCAGGGGGTCTCTGGCAGGTTGGGTGGTGGGCAGGAGGCTTGTCCTGCAGGGTGAGACGAGGAAAGGTGAGGCAGGGCGGGGGTCCCACTGTCAAAGGGCAAGGCGAGGCAGGGCAGCTGCTGCCTGACACCATCGGCCCCTGCACACAGAGGCCAGCGAGTGCATGGGGGCAGACAGTGTCCTTTAGCAGCCACAGCCTGCCAGCCCCTCAACCGGCACACTCTGGGGCTCCACAGCCCACCACCAGCAGTTCAGAGAAGCTGCCTCTGAGCTGGACAGATTGCTGACAGCTGAGGAGGCGATGCAGTGATTCGTGCCCAGGAAGAGGAGAGCCTGCGAGGCCAGGAGGGATGGGATGGGGGGGAGGAGGGAAACCAGCCGTGCTGGGATGCATCCGGCCACGTGGGACCTCGGCGAGTTAGCGGGCGGCTGGCTGAAGAGGGACGATTGCCATCTCCAAGGCATGGTGCGCGTGCCCACAGGGAGAGCTCTGAGTGCCACCTCTGGCACACGTGCCATAGATTTGCCACCACTGGTCTAGCCTCATCTTAAAAATCTCCAGTGATGAAGCACCCATAACTTCTGGTGGCGAGCTGTTCCACTAGTTAATTATCCTCACTGTCAGGAAGTTTCTCCTTAGTTCCAGGTTGCTTCTCTCCTTGGTCAGTTTCCAACCATTGTTCCTCGTCCTGCTTTCAGCTGCTTTGATGAATAACATGAATGCTGTTATTATGTAAATGTAAATATATATATATATACATTGCTTATTGGTGTACACCGCTTAGAGAGTGCTTGCACTTAAAGCGGTATATAAGTCTCATAAATAAATAAATAAAATAAATTATGTCTTCCCTATTTCTTCTTTTCTCTAGACTGGCCAAACCCAAGTCCCGCAGCCATTCTTTGTATGTTTTAGCCTCCAGGCCTTGGATCCCCTTAGTTTCTCTTCTCTGCACTTTTTCCAAACTCTCAACATCTATTTTGTGATATGGTGACCAAAATTGGCTGCAGTATTTCAGGTGTGGCCTGATTGGGGTTTTATAAAGCGGTACTAAGACCTCGTGTGATCTTGATTCTGTGCCTCTGTTTATACAACCCAGGATTGTATTAGGTTTTTTGGCTGCTGCTGCACACGGCTGGCTCAGACTCTTCTTAAAAACCTCCAGGGATGGAGCACCCACAACTTCTGGAGGCAACTTCTGTTCCACTGGTTAATTGTCCTCCCTGTTAGGAAGTTTCTCCTTAATTCCAGGTTGCTTCTCTCTTTGATCAGTTTCCATCCGTTGTTTCTTGTCCTGCCCTCTGACGCATTTGGAGAATAACTTGACCCCCTCTTCTTTGTGGCAGCCCCCCAAATACTGGAATGCTGCTAGCATGTTACTCCCTAATCTTTCTTTTCTCTAGACTGGCCAAACCCAAGTCCCACAGCCGTTCTTCGTATGTTTTAGTCTCCAGGCCTTGGATCCTCTTCGTTGTTCTTCTCTGCACTTTTTCCAAAGTCTCAACAAACATCTTTTTTGTGATATGGTGACCAAAATTGGCTGCAGTATTTCAGGTGTGCCCTGACTGGGGTTTTATAAAGCGGTACTAAGAGCTCGTGTGATCGTGATTCTGTGCCTCTGTTTATACAACCCAGGGTTGTGTTTGTTTTTTTGGCGGCTGCTGCACACGGCTGGCTCATGGTCAAGGGATCTAAATAAAGTACATTATTTGGAAAGGGATCCCAGTGTGAATGGTTTCTTCTGCTTCCTTCCCAGGAAATCCTTCACCCCGCTCACTCGCTCGTCTCCCCGAAAGTGCCATTCTGCACATCAACCCAGGTAAGAAAACGGCCAAGGGACGTGGAGAACAGCTACAAGGGGATCCTAAGAGGGCGATGCGGACTGGAGGGGGCTGGAAAACCCCGGGCTGATTTGGAGGCAGGGGTGAGGAAGGGTTTTGGGGTCATTTTGGGGATTGACACCCCCCCCCAAGAGATGATGATGATGTTGTGTAAGCTTGGTTGTTAACGGACATCCAGCCTTTCCGATATTTCGCACACCTGTTTGGCTTTTTGGTTTATCATTGGAACCTGGGAGGAAAGTTGTACCTCTGACAGTAGCAGTTTTCTAGGACTGAAAACAAGGAATTCTCTTTCTTTCTCTACCCCTTTATCTCTCTCTCTCTCTGTCATCCATCCATCTATCTATCTATCTATCTATCTATCTATCTATCTATCTATCTATCTATCTATCTATCTATCTATCTATCTATCTATCATCTCTCTCTCCTGTCTGTCTCTGTCTCTCTCTGCCTGCCTGCCTGCCTATCTATCATCTGTCTGTCTGTCTGTCTGTCTGTCTGTCTGTCTGTCTGTCTGTCTGTCTATCTATCTATCTATCTATCTATCTATCTATCTATCTATCTATCTATCTATCTATCATCTCTCTCTCCTGTCTGTCTCTGTCTCTCTCTAACTGCCTGCCTATCTATCATCTGTCTGTCTGTCTGTCTGTCTGTCTGTCTGTCTATCTATCTATCTATCTATCTATCTATCTATCTATCTATCTATCTATCTATCTATCTATCATCTATCTACCCGTTCTGTCTGTCTGTCTGTCTGTCTATCTATCTATCTATCTATCTATCTATCTATCTATCTATCTATCTATCTATCTATCTATCTATCATCTCTCTCTCCTGTCTGTCTCTGTCTCTCTCTGCTTGCCTGCCTGCCTATCTATCATCTGTCTGTCTGTCTATCTATCTATCTATCTATCTATCTATCTATCTATCTATCTATCATCCATCCACCTACCTACCTACCTATCTACCTATCATCCATCCATCCGTCTTATCTGTTTATCTATCCTCTCTCTCCTGTCTGTCTCTCTGTCTCTCTGTCTCTCTGTATCTATCTATCTATCTATCTACCTACCTACCTAACATCCATCCATCCATCCATCCATCCATCCATCCATCCATCTCTATCTATCTATCTATCTATCTATCTATCTATCTATCTATCTATCTATCTCTCCATCCATATCTATCTATCTATCTATCTATCTATCTATCTATCTATCTATCTATCTATCTATCTATCTATCTATCTATCTATCTATCTATCATTTCTCTCTCTCTCTCCCATCTCTGTCTTTATCTGCTTGTCTCTCTCTCTCTCTCTCCAATCATCTACCTTGTCTGTCTGTCTGTCTGTCTCTCTCTCTCTGTAATCAGTCCCCATTTATTTATCAAATTTAGAAACCGCCCACCTCCCTCACCCTAATGTACTAATGTTAAAAACATAAAAACTGAATATAAAAGTTTAAACAGAGGTAAGGCGAATAAAATCCCGCCTGAAACGTCGGGCAGCCTGCCTGTGACCGTGATATGAAAGAGGGCACCAGGTTGGGGAAGGCAATGGGGCTGTGTGTTTGGGGGGGTGGGGTGTGTGGGGGGAGTCCCACCCCTCTCCCGTCCCTTCCTTGCCAGATGTGGAGGGCCCTGATCTCCTGAGACGCAGCAATGGCCATTCCAAATTAAAATGGAATCACGGAAGGAGCTAATTCAAACAAGCAGGGACAAAGGAATTTCATTTATGCGTGAAGAGGAACCCAGACAGCTGCCAGGACATTGTTTGGGGAAACTGAGGGATGGGGGAGCAGCAGGCAAGTGCTGTGGGGCTCAAAACATTTGGGGGGGGGAAACAGGGATGGGCTTCTTTGCAGCCCTAATGATCTAAAGTAGGGACCTTTATCCCTTAAGGTGGACATGCGATAAAGCAAAGAAATAATGGAGTAGGATTCACATCTTAATACAGAAGATTCTCAAAGTGAATATAAAGATAAAAACTTTTCTTTTGGGTCTAATGGAAAAAGACTTGGACCTTTAGGCAGGAAAAAACAAATGCACAGGTATAGTATAGTATAGGGGGTACCTTGCTTAGTAATAGTAACTGTGAGAGGGACCTCAGAGTCCTAGTAGACAATCACCTAAATAGGAGCCAGCCGTGTGCTGCAGCTGCTAAAAAGGCCAACACAGTGCTGGGCTGCATTAACAGAGGGATAGAATCAAGATCACGTGAAGTGTTAATACCACTCTACACTGTCTTGGTAAGGCCACACTTGGAATCCTGCATCCAGTTTTGGTCACCACGATGTAAAAAAGATGTTGAGACTCTAGAAAGAGTACAGAGAAGAGCAACAAAGATGATCAGGGGACTGGAGGCTAAAGCATATAAGGAACGGTTGCTGGAATTGGGTTTGTCTAGTTTAACGAAGAGAAGGACGAGGGAGGACAGGATAGCAGTGTTCCAGTATCTCAGGGGCTGCCCCAAAGAAGAGGGAGTCAAGCTATCCTCCAAAGCGCTTGAAGGCAGGACAAGAAGCAACAGATGGAAACTCATCAAGGAAAGAAGCAATAGAGAACTAAGGAGAAACTTCCTGACAGGGAGAACAATTAACCAGTGGAACCACCTGCCTCCAGAAGTGGTGAATGCTCCAACACTGGGAGTTTTTAAGAAGAGTCTGGACAGCCATTTGTCCGAAATGGTATAGGGTTTCCTGCCTGAGCAGGGGGTTGGATTGGATGACCTCCAAAGTCCCTTCCAACTTTACTACTACTACTTCTACTTCTACTTCTATTATTACTACTACTACTACTACTACTACGGATCATCGCACAGTCAGCCAGATGTTCAGACCGGATTTGGCATTTTGTCTACCTATCGAGTCCTTACCCAGGACCTGGGATAGGCAGATGTGGATGTTTGATGGTATTACAGATATCGTCGCAGGATGGAAGCAGTTCCTAGTAAGGCTGCCTTTTGCAATTGACTAATAGCGAATTTGTCAATGCCGATGATGGTGTCCAAGTGGTGCTCCAGTTGTTTTGGAATTGCACCCAAGGAGCCTATTACTATTGGTACTACCCTTGCTTACTTTTGCCACAGTCAAAAGCAAGTGGCATTATTTTTTATTATTATTATTATTATTATTATTATTATTATTATTATTATTATTATTATCTGGTCATTAGTATTCTTTCTGAGGATCATTGAGGCCACCTGGAGGTTTATCTGTGTCCTCAGGGTCACCTGAGAGGTGCAAGTGGGATTGGAGCCTTCTGGGAACTGCCGAAAGGATTGTGTTGTGGACTGGAGATGGATGATGTCTCGTATCCCTCCCCCTCTGTTGACAGAGAGGGCTGTTCAGGTTTGACCTAGACGGCCTCTTTGACCCCTCTTTCAAACCTGGTCCTCTCTGTCCACATTTTGGGGTCAAAGAGGCCATCAAGGTCAAAACTGAACATCCCTCTCTCAACAAAAGGGGAAGGATACGAGACCTCATCCATCTCCAGTCCACAACACTGTCCTTTCGGCAGTTCCAAGAAGGCTTCATAGACATTCGCACTGCTCAGGTGATCCTGAGGATACGGAGATAAACCTCCAAACGGCCTCAATGACTCTCTAAACCAGCGGTTCTCATCCTGTGGGTCGGAACCCCATTTGGGGTCGAACGACCACTTCACGGGGGTCGCCAAACAACGCAGTCCGCCATTTTTTCCCCCTTCCCCTTAGCTGTGCTACTCCCTTTTATTCCATTGGCTTTTGAAAGCCAATAGAATAGACTCTCTTGAATAGAGTCTAATTCTATTGGCTTTCCAAAGCCAATAGGCATTGTCCAGGCTGTCTCTGCCCTGCTGAGCCCGCCAAAAGTCCCATTCTGCAAACGGTGCTGCACCAGTTGAGTAGTCCTCGCCTTACGACCGGTTGAGTAGTCCTCGCCTTACGACCGGTTGGGGGGGGTCACGGCATTAAAAAGGTTGAGAACCACTGCTCTAAAAGGAGGCAAATGACCAGCGGTCTGCAAGAAGTGTCAATCCTTCCCTTCCCCACCGTCCAGCCAGAGCGGAAGAAGCTTCTGGGAGGAGAAGCGAAACGTCTTCAAAGAAAAATCTGGAAGTCCAGTTGCCTGCTGAAAAAAGCATCTTTGGGATGTCTTTGAGTCGTTTTTTGAACCCTGGGTATTGCCTGGGTAAGTCCCTGTAGATTCCTTGGCCAGGTTTTATCAGAAGTGGTTTGCCATTGCCTCCTTCTTAGGGCTGAGACAGGGTGGCTGGCCCAAGATCCCCCGGCTGGCTTTAGGCCTAAGGCAGGACTCCAGCTAAGATCTCCTGGGATCACTTGACTCCCGGGATACCGCAACCGTCGTAAATGTGAGCCAGTTGCCAAGGGTCTGAATGCACATCCCGTGATCACGGGGAGGCTGCGGCGGTCGTAAAGGTGAAAAACGGCCGTAAGTCACTTTTTTCGGTCCCGTTGTAACTTGGAATGGTCACCAAATGAATGGCTGTTGAGTCGAGGACTGCATGCATAAACAGGCTGAGGTTCAAATGAACATACTCTCATTAAAGCAGGGCTACCTGTGGGACATTGGCCCCTGGCAGGTGGTACGCGAGCATCCTAGAAAAGGGGTAGCGGGGGAGGGGGATGAGCTGAACCGGGGGCAGCACCGCACAAGCCTGAGCGAGAGACGGCTGGAGCTGCAGGGCTGTCGGGGCTCAGCAGAAGCGCCAGGATCAGTGCCGCTTTCCAATTGATCGGTGCTTCTTCGGGGCTGTCAGGGCTCAGTGGAAGTGTCAGGATCAGCACCAGGCTCCAGCTGGAGCTCAGCGCTGATCCTGGCGCTTCTGCTGAGCTCTGAAGAAGCACCGATCAGCTGGAAAGCAGCACTGATCCTGGGGCTTCTGCTGAGCCCAGAAGAAGCGCCAATCAGCTGGAATGTTGCAGCCTCTCCAGGGTCTTGTGATTGACATTCAGATGCTTGGCAACTGATTC